TATTTTATAAGAAGATGTAAAAAAAATTTAAAATATAAAAAAAAAAAAATATTTTAGAAAGGCATAGTTGCTTAAATATAAAACTAAACTTTTGTTTTTTTAGAAACTGATTAGTAAAAAAGAAAAGGAACAAAAAAAAAGAAAAAATAGGTAATGGTCTACAAAATGTACCAGTAGTTTTTTATAAGAAGATGTAAAAAAAATTAAACATATTTTAAAAAATATTTTAGAAAGGCATAGTGGCTTAAATATAAAACTAAAGTTTTGTTTTTTAGAAACTGATTAGTAAAAAAGAAAAGAAACAAAAAAAAAAGAAAAAATAGGTAATGGTCTACAAAATGTACCAGTAGTTTATAAGAAGATGTAAAAAAAAAATAAACAATATTTTTACAAATATTTTAGAAAGGCATAGTGGCTTAAATAGAAAAACTAAAGTTTTTTTTTTTTTTAGAAATTGATTAGTAAAAAAAAAAAAAAAGAAAATGAACATAAAACAAAAAATAGGTAAGTGTCTCCACAATGTACCAGCTTTTTATAAAGTGATGTCACAAAAAAATTTAAATATCTTTTAAACGTTGCAGAAATGTATAGTGCCGTGTATATGACACTAATTTTTCTTTTTTGTAAATTGATTAGTGGAAAAAAAGAGAGAAAAAATAGGTAATTGTCTACAAAATGTACCAGTATTTTATAAGAAGATGTAAAAAAAAAAATAAAATTATTTTTAAAAAAAATATTTTAGAAAGGCATAGTAGGTTAAATATAACACAAAAGGTTTTTTTTTAGAAACTGATTAGTATAAAAGAAAAGGAAGAAGAAAAAATAGGTAATTGTCTACAAAATGTACCAGTATTTTATAAGAAGATGTAAAAAAAAATGTAAAATATTTTTTTTAATATTTTAGAAAGGCATAGTGGCTTAAATATAAAACTAAAGTTTTTTTTTTTTTTAGAAACTGATTAGTAAAAAAAAATTAGTAAAAAAAGAAAAGGAAAAAAAAAAAAGAAAAAATAGGTAATTCTCTACAAATTGTACCAGTATTTATAAGAAGATGTAAAAAAAAATTAAATTTTAAAAAAAAAAAAATATTTTAGAAAGGCATAGTGGCTTGAATGTAAAACTAAAAAGTTTTTTTTAGAAACTGATTAGTAAAAAAGAAAAGGAACAAGAAAAAAATAGGTAATTGTCTACAAAATGTACCAGTGTTTTATAAGAAGATGTAAAAAAATTTAAAATATTTTTTTAAATATTTTAGAAAGGCATAATGGCTTAAATATAAAACTAAAGTTTTTTTTTCTAGAAACTGATTAGTAAAAAAAAAAAAGAAAATGAACAAAAAAGAAAAATAGGTAATTGTCTCCACAATGTACCAGCTTTTTATAAAATGATGTCATAAAAAAATGAAAATATCTTTTAAACATTGCAGAAATGTATAGTGCCTTGTGTATGAAACTAAATAATTTTTTTTTTGTAAATTGATAAGTGAAAAAAAAAAAAGTAATTGTCTTCAAAATGTACCATCTATACCATCTGTTGTAAAAAAAAAATTAACAATATTTTTCAAACTTTGTAGAAATGCATAGTGCCATAAATATAAAACTAAAGATTAGTAAAAAAAAATAAATAAATACATCAATAAAAGAGAACAGGAACAAAAAAAGAAAAAAAAAGGTAATTGTATCAAAATTAAAAATTGAACATTGTAGATATGCAAAGTGCCTTAAATATAAAACTAAAGATAAAAAAAATTGCTTATTAAAAAAATGTAATAAAATGAATCACAATTTTCTCTAATATTTTCTGTATCCAAAGCTTTTTTTTTCTGCACAGTATAAAATTTAAATAAAAAACAAAATGCAGCTGAAAATGTCAAGATTCTTTTAAAGAAAGAAGAATGGAATCATGATATTTCAAAACAGTCACGTAGCACGAAAAACAAGGTGCAACATCAAACGCAATATTTTTTAAACTTTGTAGAAATGCATAGTGCCCTAATATAAAACTATAGATATAAAAAAAGAGTAGTAAAAAAATTAAATAAATACATCAATAAAAGAAAACAGGAACAAAAAAAGAAAAAAAAAAGGTAACTGTTCCAAAATGTTCTAGTTTTTATGTCATAAAAAACTAAAAAAGTAAACATTGTAGATATGCCAAGTGCATTAAATATAAAACTAAAGATTAAAAAATTGCTTATTAAAATAAATAAAATGAATCACAATTTTTTTCTAATATTTTCTCCATCAAAGATTTTTTTATTCTGCACAGTATAAAAGTTAAATAGAAAAAAAAAAACAGCTGAAAATGTCAAGATTCTTTTAAAGAAGGAAGAATGGAATCATGATATTTCAAAACAGTCACATAGCAGGACAAACAAGGTGCAACATCAAACACCTCCCTAAAAATCACTGGCAGCAATAACATTCACAACAAAAATATAATTAATTATTAATTAATGAAAAAAAAAAAAAGTTCTTTGACATTTCTACTTCTCCCATGGGTGCAAATAAATTGCCTGCCATCCTACAGTGAACGTCTGTCACAAAACAAAAATAAAAGTAGTTGCTTCTATTTTCTTTTCAATGGCTTCTATTTTTTTTCAATGTTGGTATTAAAAATAATGCAATAATAACACCGATGACTTTATATAGTATGATTTTTATTCAATTCACTTTTTGGGGGATTTGTTAAATTTTGCAATAGTGCCACACACTGCTTTTTTATTCAAATAAAACAAACATATTATTAAAGCGCTGAGCAAACTGTTGGTGCTATATAAATCCTGTATAATAATAATAATAATTACCCAAAAAACACCAATTTGATCATTTATTATTTAAAAAAAATATTTAAAAATATTAATATTTAAAAAAATATTTTAAATTATTTATCCATGTATTTTGGATGTGTTTTCTTTAAATTTGTATAATATTTAGTGTATTATTTCATTTATTTTAGTATTAATTTATTATTAATATTAATTTATCATTTATTAATACATTTCTATGTAAATAAACCAATCACACAATAATATGAAATGGATAGATCCAATTTGATTGGAGAAAACATTTTCTCCAGCTATTAGTCCTACTCAGTCCAAACAGAAGGCACTGATCATATCTGATCCACAACAGGCCCGCCCACCTTCCAATCCCTAACCAATCAGATTAGAAAAATAAACCAGAAAGGCTGGCCATGTTTGCAACAAGAAAATCATTTGGATATATCTGTCGTCACGATAAATTGAAAGAATAATCGGCTATCATCCATCGCCCACTGGACGATCGATCCGAAGTAACCCAGAATGCACGCAGCGTCACGCTATGAGTGAAGTCCATGAGGTGCATGACACCTCCTGAACTTGTCTCTTTTATTTAATTCGGACATTTTTGTTGAGCTCCCTGGAAGATGGCTCTGAGCATCTTCCACATTAGAATCGGTGCAGCTGCTTTGCAAGCCCTCCCCCTGCTCCTGCCTATTCACAGAAGCCTTTGTATTACGTGACCTAATTCACAAAATACAAAGGCTTCTCTGAATGGGCAGATGTAAATAATGGAGATGGGTTCAGGAGATGTCTTGCACCTCCTTGGACTTAAAGGATAAGTTCACCTTTTTGACAAAAAAAATAATAAATGCTAATTTTTTTACAGGTAAAAAAAAATATGTGCATTTATTATTTGCATAGGTGGCAAGCACAAGACCCACGGGCCGAATCTGGGCTCGTCAGACCCGTGCAGCAGCAGCCGCCACCTGCAGCTCTCACCCGCTCTTCCCGCTGACACATGAGCCTTCTGTGTTCACAGTGACAGCTATGCTCTCAGAGGCTCCTGCGGCGCTGGCAGCAGGGGATGGAGGGGACCGCAGCATCTCCCTGCAAGATGACAGACGGGAATTCCCTTGTATTGGAACCGTCAGATCCCCCGACATCGGTACTACAGCCCAATACACAGGGAGGGAGACGCCTACTACAGAGGAGAGGGAGCCTATGGGGAGGGCTGTGGAGCTATGGAGGAAGATTTGTGCAGAGGTGGGGAGGATGGTGGGGGGGGGGGAGTGGAGGGTGCAAAGGTCAGAACCCAGGAGGAGGGGTGGAAAGGAGATATTGCCCTCTGTACAAAGCACAGCCCTAAACCCTGCACTCTGTATGTAACACACTCCTAACCCAAACCCAGCACTCTATATATATAATGCACTCTTAAACCCTGCACCCTGTACGAAACGCACCCTGAACCCTGCACTCTGTACGTAACGCACCCTGAACCCAGCACTCTGTACATAACGCACTCATAAACCCTGCACTCTGAACATAACGCACTCCTGAACCCAGCACTCTATATATAATGCACTCTTAAACCCTGCACCCTGTACGAAACGCACCCCTGAACCCTGCACTCTGTACGTAACGCACTCCTAAACCCAGCACTCTGTATAGAATGCACTCCTAAACCCAGCACTCTATATGTAACACACTCCTAAACCCTGCACTCTATATATAATGCACTCTTAAACCCAGCACTCTGTATAGAATGCACTCTTAAACCCTGCACCCTGTACGAAACGCACCCCTGAACCCTGCACTCTGTACATAACGCACTCCTGAACCCTGCACTCTGTACATAACGCACTCCTGAACCCTGCACTCTGTACATAACGCACTCCTGAACCCTGCACTCTGTACATAACGCACTCCTGAACCCTGCACTCGGTACATAACGCACGCCTGAACCCTGCATTCTGTATGTAACACACTCCTAAAACCCAGCACTCTATATATAATGCACTCTTAAACCCAGCACTCTGTATAGAATGCACTCTTAAACCCTGCACCCTGTACGAAACGCACCCCTGAACCCTGCACTCTGTACATAACGCACTCCTGAACCCTGCACTCGTACATACGCACTCCTGAAACTCTGCACTCCTGAACCCTGCACTCTGTACGTAACGCACTCCTGAACCCCAACTCTGTACGTAACGCACTCCTGAACCCTGCACTCTGTACTGTACAATGCACTCCTAAACCCAGCACTCTGTATGTAACACACTCCTAAACCCAGCACTCTGTACATAACGCACTCCTAAACCCAGCACTCTATATAGAATGCACTCTTAAACCCTGCACCCTGTACGAAACGCACCCCTGAACCCTGCACTCTGTACATAACGCACTCCTGAACCCTGCACTCTGTACGTAACGCACTCCTGAACTCTGCACTCTGTGCATAATGCACTCCCGAACCCTGCACTCTGTACATAACGCACTCCTGAACCCTGCACTCTGCACTCCTGAACTGCACTGTATAATGCACTCCTAAACCCTGCACTCTGTACGTAACACACTCCTAAACCCTGCACTCTGTATGTACGTAACACTCCTAAACTCTGCACTCTGTATGTAACACATAAACTCGGACACTCTGTACACATACCGTACATCATACACCATACACCGTACACCACACAACGTACACCATATAACGTACACCATACACCGTACAACGTACATCATACACCGTACATTGTACACTATACACCATACACCATATACGTACACCGTAATCATACACCGTACATTGTACACCACACAACATACACCATATAACGTACATCATACACCACACAACATACATCATACTCCGTACTACACCGTACACCACACAACGTACACCATATAACGTATACACATACACCATATACACGTACACACCACACACCGTACATCACCGTACATTGTACACTATACACCATACACCACACCGTACCGTACATCATACACCGTACATTGTACACGTACTATACACCACACCGTACACGTACATATACCGTACATCGTACATCATACACCAGACACCGTACATTGTACACCATACACTGTACATCATACACCGTACATCGTACATCATACATCATACTCCGTACACCACACAACGTACACCATATAACGTACACCATACACCACACACCGTACATCATACACCGTACATTGTACACTATACACCATATACCGTACACCATACATCGTACATTGTACACCATACCATACATCATACATCATACACCAGACACCATACATTGTACACCATACACTGTACATCATACACTGTACATCATACATCGTACATGATACACCATACACCATACATCATACAACGTACACATCATACACCGTACACCATACACCGTACATCATACACCATACACTGTGCACCGTACATCATACACTGTGCACCGTACACCATACACTGTGCACCGTACATCATACACCATACACTGTGCACCGTACATCATACACCGTATATCAAACATCATACACCGTACACATACATACACCATACATCATACACCATACATCATACACCGTACACCATACATCGTACACATCATACACCAGACACCGTACATTGTACATCATACACTGTACATCATACATCGTACATCATACACAATACACCGTACATCATACAACGTACATCATACACCGTACATCATACACCGTACATCATACACTGTACATCATACACCAGACACCGTACATTGTACACCATACACTGTACATCATACACCATACACCGTACACACCCATACACCGTACACCATACACATACACACCATACACCGTACATCATACACACCACACACGTATATTGTATATTGTACACCATACACTGTACATCATACATACCGTACATCATACACCATATACATTGTACATCATACACCATACACTGTACATCATACATATACATCATACACCCATACACCGTACATCATACACCATACACTGTACATCATACACACTGTACCCATACATCATACACCCTACACCTGTACACACATACACATACATCATACACCCATACACTGTACATCATACACCGTACACTGTACATGTACATACATACATACACCATACACTGTACACCATACACATATACATCATACACACCCTGTACACACCGTACATCATACACCGTACACTGTACATCATACATCATACACCATACACTGTACACCATACACCGTACATCATACACCGTACACTGTACATCATACATCATACACTGTACACCATACACTGTACATCATACACTGTACACCGTACATCATACACCGTACACTGTACATCATACACTGTACACCATACACTGTACATCATACACTGTACACCGACATCATACACCATACACTGTACATCATACACCGTACACCATACACCGTACATCATACACCCATACACTGTGCACCGTACATCATACACTGTGCACCGTACATCATACACTGTGCACCGTACATCATACACCATACACTGTGCACCGTACATCATACACCATACACTGTGCACCGTACATCATACACCGTATATCACACATCATACACCGTACATCATACACACCGTACATCATACACCATACATCATACACCGTACACATATACATCGTACATCATACACCATACACCGTACATTGTACATCATACACTGTACATCATACATCGTACATCATACACAATACACCGTACATCATACCAACGTACACATCACACATACCGTACATCATACACTGTACATCATACACCAGACACCGTACATTGTACACCATACACTGTACATACATACACCATACACCGTACATCATACACCGTACACCATACACCGTACACCATACACCGTACATCATACACCAGACACCGTATATTGTACACCATACACCATAGTACTGTACATCATACATAGTACATCATACACCATACACCGTACATTGTACACCATACACTGTACATCATACATAGTACATCATACACCGTACACCGTACACCATACACTGTACATCATACATAGTACATCATACACTATACACCGTACATCATACACCCTACACTGTACATCATACACTATACATCATACACCCATACACCGTATACTGTACCTGTACATCATACATCATACACCATACACTGTACACCATACACTATACATCATACACTGTACACCGTACATCATACACCGTACACTGTACATCATACATCATACATCATACACCATACACTGTACACCATACACCGTACATCATACACCGTACACTGTACATCATACATCATACACTGTACACCATACACCGTACATCATACACCGTACACTGTACATCATACATCATACACTGTACACCATACACTGTACATCATACACTGTACACCGTACATCATACACCGTACACTGTACATCATACATCATACACCATACACTGTACACCATACACTGTGCACTGTACTCCGTACACCATACACCATACACTGTACAGACAAGCAGATACACACTGACAGGAAGACTCAATGAACCACCACAGCACCCCGCAGCACCCTGCAGCACCCCACAGCGCCCTGGTAGGTCATGAAGAACTACAAGCCGACATCCGCTAAGGCTGCCAAGACTTGTTGTCTTCCATTCGCAGGGGACTGTGAATAAGTGATGAGGCCGGTTGGGCGGAGTTTCTCTTTTCTTTTTTTAAAGTTGTGAAGGCTGTCATGGGGAGAAGAACCCAAAGGTGAACTTATCCTTTGCCTCATAGTGTGCCTACACTTTACACACCGCGGCTGTATTCCTGGCATTCCCCTCCCCCCTCCATGAATGAAGATCTGTGTACTTACCTATTGTCAATCTGCTCCGGTCCGGTCATGTGATCCTGCAGCTCCAGCTCTCCTGTGAGCAGCAGCTGCAGGGCAGAGGAGGGAGAGCTGACATGGGAGGGGCCTATGTGTGATGTCACTGCCCCCAGAATTCACAGCTGTTGTCCAGCGCCATATGACATGGGGCTGCAGGGTCACATGACCTGAGATGATTCAAAATCGGTAAGCACGCAGGTCTCATTATACCGGGTGTGCTGGACAGGTAGGGAGGGGGAGGGGTCATTTTTTTTAAGAAGAGATATGTGGTGTAATGTGTCTCAACAAGCTGGGCTTCATGAAGATGCCGAATCACCGACTTTTTTTGGTGAAGCAGACCAATAGAGTATATCAGCCCTAAGTGGGGGCGGAGCCAGAATTTGTTCCGTATGATTGTACACAGCAGCAGAACTCAGCAGTATTGGCCCCATGAACGGGATATCCAATCTGATTGTACAATCTCTGTACAGTCTCCATCCTTAAGGCTGGCCATACACTACACAATCTGATTGTACAATCTCTGTACAGTCTTCTTAAGGCAGGCCATACACTACACAATCTGATTGTACAATCTCTCTACAGTCTCCTTAATGGGTTCCCGAGCAGCGGCCGTTTGACTGGTTGAGCCACGATGACGTCACTCCTGTGTATGGGTGCCGGAGTTCCTTCTGTGGCGCGGCTCTATCATTGGACGGCACGTCGCTCACTGAGAACACACTGAGCATGCTCTGATGACATCATCAGCACTGCAGTAAATATCTCCCACACAGTCCATGTATGGGACCTACAGATACGTCACACACAATCTAGTCTGCTTCCACTCCTACTATAAATCAATAATCATTTGATCAATTGATTTTTACAAATTGTATAGTGTATGGTCGCCTTTATCTAGATTGTATAATCAGAATGTATAGTGTATGGTCACCATGTACAATCAGATTGTATAGTTTATGGTCACCATTAGGGGCATCGTACAATCAGATTATATAGTGTATGGACACCTTTAAGAGGGGATTGCACAATCAGTTGTATAGTGTATGATCATCTTGTACAATCAGGTTGTATAGTGTATGATCATCTTGTACAATCAGGTTGTATAGTGTATGATCATCTTGTACAATGAGATTGTATAGTGTATGGTCACCTTTATCTAGATTGTACAATCAGATTGTATAAAGTATGGTCATCTTGAACAATCAGATTGTAAAGTTTATGGCCACCATTAGGAGGATCATACAATCAGATTGTATAGTGTATGGTCACCTTTATCTAGAATGTACAATCAGATTGTATAGTGTATGGTCACCTTTATCTAGAATGTACAATCAGATTGTATAGCGTATGGCAACTTTGTCCAATCAAATTGTACAGTGTATGGTCACCTTGTCCAATCAGATTGTATAGAGTATGGATACCTTTAAGGGGGATTGTCCAATCAGATTGTACAGTGTATGGTCACCTTGTCCAATCAGATTGTGTTTCTGTCCCTTTAAATCCTATGATTTCCCTGCCATGTATGGCCAGTCCTTTCCTTCCTATTAATAATAAATGGATACAATGTCCTCTCCCCCCAGCCAATCACAGGCCAGCTTTAGGCTGCCCTCATTCCTCCTAGTAGTACTAAATGGATACAATGTTCTCCTCCTCCAGCCAATCACAGGAGAGCTCCGTCTCCGCACACTCGGGCAGGTGGAGGGAAGGCTGTGCATCCCTTCGTAGCAGCGCCCCTAGC